TATAACATATTTCGATTTTCACTCGCCATTATCATGTTTTGAATTAATTCAAACACTTTTCTAAATACGATGCCGCAAGTTAATTTGTGCTAAATGTTGATAAATCTAAAAATAAAGACAATTCTCATTTCAAAATCAAATTCCATTTCCCCCCGTTTTTCATGGATTCTAGGTTTACTGACCACCCTGCGATATTAATGCCTACAAAATGTTTTATGCGCATTCTTAACTTATTATTATTATTATTATTATTATTATTATTATTATTTTAGGAGTAAAATCCTTTATGGATACCAGTGAAGCTGATAATGTCAGACTCCCAACTAGTTACCGACTAAAAACCTAACCTCCGTCTCTTAAACCGTCGTTAGACATTACTTCACGCAGGAGATTGGCTGATAGTAGACTGCTCTACTTCTTCTGTCTTAATTCTTTCTTCTTCATATTGCTAACTATGAAGTTCTCTATGGTTTTCCATTTCTCCTGCGAGCTCAGCATCATGCCAACCATGTTTGGATTTATAACTTGTTGGAGGTTGACATTACAAACCTCTCGTTCCGCGTCCCATGCCTTGCACTGGAATAGTGTGTGTTCCGCATCATCTATGTCTGCGTGACAGAGACTACTTGCGGGCCATCGTGAAATCGTAGAGGCATTTATTAAATGCCCCTTGTCCCATAAGAGCTTGGGACAGGTAATAACCCACCTCCCCAAAACCTCGGCGAACCCATCTCTCGATGTTTGTAATCAACCGATGAGTCCATCTGCCTCTGACATCCCCATCCCATCTTCCTTACCATTCTTCAAGGAGCAACTTCCTTGCTTCTGTTTCAACACTCTCAATTTGCTTGGGAGGGAGATGGCTGTCTGCTTGTGCTTCCTTCAAGGCGAGGTACGTCCTCTTTCTTTCCATGGCTATTACGTTGATAGGTGGTGTTCTGGCCAATACCAGCACTGCGCAAGTAGACATTGTGCGGTAGGCACACGCCACCCTCAACGCCATTCGTCTTTGCAGTACTTGGACGTACTTGTGTCTAATAGACAGCTTCTCCAGCGAACCCGCCCAGACTGGAGCAGCATTCAACAACTGTGAGTGAACTATGCCAGATATCATTCTTTTCTTGGCTTCTCTTGGTCCACCGACGTTCGGAAGCATTCTTGCGATGTTAGCTCCTATTCTAGCCGCCTTCTCTGCCATCACATTTATGTGAGGCCCGAAGCTGAGTCTATGGTCTATTTCGACTCCTAAAAATCGAATCTGGCTCTTCCAGCTGATTCTCTCCCCTCCCAATTGGAGATCTGGGTAGTGAAATGCCCTCCGGTCGGTGATTAAGACAGCTTCGGTTTCTTGCACTGCTGTCGTCTATCTGACCATCTTTTAACCCTAAACAGCGCTTCTTTCACTCTCAAGTCGAGTTCAATGTCAACGCTGGGGCTTATTACTAGCGTATCGTCAGCATAGCCTATGAGCTGCGTATCTTTCGGCAGGTCAATGCTTAGAATGTCATCATACACGACATTCCATGAAAATGGCCCGAGTCTGGACCCTTTAGGAACACCGCATGTCACATTCTCTTTTATCTTGATACTGTCCACATGTGTTATCGTCCTTTCATGGAGCTGGTCTTCAATAAGCCTTATGAGATATTGTGACGTAGTGAAATAAGAAATGAATTCAAATAACAAAATAAAAATAATATATTAAAAGATTACGTACAAGTTACAATAAATTGCTAATATTAAAACACTCCGGCAACCTTTTCCTTTCAATACCCTGCTTTACCGCAGAAAAATACAAGCCGCGCGTGATGCGAGCTGTCGGACCTCCGTCCCGTGACAATTACCGTCACATGGCCTGACGCCAAAATTTAACCCGGTCGTGGCGACCGTGTGCCTACAGCACGCGAGATCGTCTGGCCCTTACTCTCCGGACATCTCGCCCACACTCCTACACCCCTTGTACACACACGTACAAGCTTCCCGATGCAAACTGAATGAGAACGCGGGCGCAGATGGCGCCGCGTTAAATAGTTGAGGCTGACACCCCCACCACTGTTCCATAGATAGGCTCGCCGGCTGGCGGCCGCGAGACTCGCTGGCCAGCAGCTTGGTTTACGCCCACACACAGGATTCTCAGGTTGGCTCGCCTGCTTCCGTAAGCGAGGCTCGCTGGCTAGCATCCTCGGAGTTTACAGCCTACGGTATTTTTGGCTCTGCGGCTCTACCTGAGTCAACCGCCAGAGCGCAAACTCCCGGAAGTTCAGGCTCAACCCCTTCCTGCCCCGCAGCGTACTTTCACCGACCTAACGGTTCTGGCCCTCGTGTTAACGACGCCACAATATTCTGGAATCATCTTGTTAACTAACTTATATAATGTCCTTCCACCTAGCGGAGTTGAAGGCGTTTCTCATGTCAATTGCCACGAGTGCGCAGAATCCCTTCTTCTTGCCGACTCCTCTTCTGGCTGCGTCTGCTGTATCGATTACTTCTAGCATAGCATTCGTCGTCGAGCGGCCTCTTCGGAATCCATATAGCTTGTGAGAAAAGCATATGAGTCCCTCAAGACTAGAGAGTATTAGTCCCTCAAGCAGCTTGACCATGGTGTCAAGGATGCACAGTGGTCTGTATGATGACGTCTGATCTACTGGCTTGTTGTCCTTTCGGAGGAGAATCAGCTTTTGTATCTTCCATGTCTTGAAGAATATCCCATCCTCAAGGCAGCGGTTATAGGTTGATAAAAGGCATTCCAGATACTCCTGTGCCACTATTTTTAGTATTTCACAGGGCATTCCATCGAAACCTGGGGTCTTCCCAGTTTTCATGCTTTTCGCCTCTCTCCTCAGTATCGTGAAGTATTCTGCTGCGTCAACCGTGAAGTCGCTCTGTCTTTGTCTCGTCCAAGGATCTCTAGTGGGAAAGAGGTCCCTGATAGCTTTCCTCATCCATTGTGGGTCATTCTATCCAGGTATCTTCCAGTCCATTCTGAATTTCTTATTTACTATTTTATAAGCCAAGCCCCATGGGTCGTTATCTGTTCTAAGAGCTGTTTCCAGCATCTGCCTTTACTACTTTTTATTTCTCCTTAAGCCGTTTGGACAGTTCTTTATACCGTTCCCTTAGGTGCAGATTCGTCTTGGTCCTTGTCGCTATTCTTCTTGCCTTGTTTCAGTTCCTTCGTAGTTCGGCTATTCTCTTCGGACATATACGTCTAGGCATGGATGCATCGCAAGCTGCTACCACTATTTCCTCCGTTGCCTTGACCACATTCTCAAGCGTTTCCGCATCTTTCGTCCAACCGATGTTAACCAGCAACCTGGATTCTTCCATGAAGCGTTTTGTCTTGTCTTGTCTTCATTCAGTTTTTTGGGATACCAAGGTGGTCTTCCTTTATAACGCGTTTTGATATGTTGCAGCCCCTCCGTTAAAGGAGTCGAATATCCTATGTACCGATGGTCACTCAGGGTTTCTTCGTCGAGCACTGAGCAATCAGTGATGCCTTTAGCCAACTTGGTGGAGCTTATTGTCAAATCCAAAATAGATTATGCGGCTCCACGTTGAAGGTGTCACCACTATTTAAGATGATCAGATCATTTCTTGCAATGAATTCACATATGATAGTTCCTCTTCAATCAGAGCGCGTCTCTCCCCATTCGGACGACTTACCGTTGAAATCGCCAGCCACTAATACCTCGCACTTAGACGTTTTAAAGCTAGCCTCCAGCTCATCGATATCTTTCTGAAATTTTTCTAGCGTATCATTCGGTGAAAAATAGCAGCAAATTCTCATATTACCCGCGTCCAGCCACACAAATCCATATTTCGTTCTCTTGTGGTTCCTGATATTCAGCGTCTTATTATGTATTATTATGCCGGCTCTATCAGTAGCATCCTGATACAGGTCGGTGTGTCTAGAACCCTCCCGATTGCAGCTGCTACGTCATTTGCTGAAACAGTCTCGTCAATGTCTCTAATTTCTACACGTGTTTTTGGTGTGTTCTAATAATAATAATAATAATAATAATA